CCGCGTAAATAAACGACGCATAAAGAATTTCAAGCAAACAACCTAACAGGCGGGCTGCCTGCCTATATGTCGAACATTCCACCAGCGCCTTGGTGTCGATCGGGCGAGACTCGAATGTCGGGTAACCGTCCTTGTCGAGGATATCATTCCCTTCCCGCGTAACCCACTGGGCGGGATGAAAACTGTCGACAAACCGGCAAAGAGCCTCGTACGCCCGCTGGTCTTCCGTGCACATATCCCCGACTGCGGTATGGAAATAACCTGTTCCATGCTCGTAGTGTCGGGACATCCAGTACACCGGGAACTTAGCCCTACGACCTAACACGGGGCTCCCGTCGTCGGCCAACATTGCTTCCCCGTCATCATCGCTGACCGGCCCTTCCTCTTCGAAGAGGGAATCTACAGCAGAGTCGGTAATAGGGCGTACCACATACCACTTGTCCTTGAACCCCCTCACGGAGTCCATATACATCCTAAACAGTCTCCTCGACTGCTTCAGGGACACCCAGCTGTGCTTCCCTCCTCGGGACTGACGCTGCAGGTGAAATACCCGAAAGAAAAGAGGGATGGTCGCCCCTATCCTTAAGTAGCGACACGTCAGCTCAAACGCCCGGATGAAGGCGAGAGAGTTTGGGTGTAGCTGGGACGGGGCCAGCTCCAAATGCGTAAAGACCCCGGTCTGAAAATCTGTGAACGGCAGCCGCAGCCCTAAGTCTTTAAACGCGATCTCGTACATCGCAAAGCTGTAGTCCGGGTACATTGAACAAATTCTTGCATTGGTCGACGGAAGCATGACCACGAAATTCTGCTGGAAGTCGGGCTGGTCCTGCCCCTCTTCAATAGCGGTGAATGGATGTCGGTCATCCCGACTGTATATCGACGCCGTCCCCCGAGGCTCGGCACCCACCCATTCCAGCGATGGGTCGGTCACGGTATCTATAAGGGTGGCCGACTCGTCGGCACTCTGTTCTTCGCTATCACGACGACCGGAGGAGCTCGGCTCATCCGCCATGGTTACCTGCAGAGCACGGGAAACCAATCAGATTGAGCATGAAGTCCTATGCTCGACATAATCATGTCATCCATACACTACTACACAAGTCCATTTTCACAAGTGGATGCCTCCCCGACTCTCCTGAACCCAGTGTTCTTCCTCAAACCAACTGCGCGGCCATTCTTCAAGCATGTCGACCCGAGGTATGAACACGGCGAGCCGCATTATGAAGCCCACGGCCACGACCATAAACATATCGGGCACCGTCATGAATCAGGCGCCCAGGATCATGAAGACCCCGGGCAGCTCTGAAGTTTTTCACCTAAAACTATGAATGTGTCGGCCACAAGTATGCGTTTGCCGGCCCTAGACATGAATCTGTCGGGCAAAACACGAGTTTACCAGGCTAACCCAACGCTAACGGTCCTAAAACATCTACAATTTCCAGGAATCATGCATTCTAAAACGGAAAAATAAAGAAAGTAGGTCACTTACTTGGATCAAAGCTTGGGATTTGGCTGAGAAATGAAGAATCTGAGACGGGAAGTCGCGACTGGAGAAAGTGTTGAGAGCGGCAACGGAGAGAGCACGGAGAACGGAAAACGTATTATGGGGCCCAAGGATCCTATTTATAGTGATGACGTGGAATACCAAACGTCACCTCGTTCAACCACAGACTCCACCTCCTCGACGCGCTGCTCCCAACGTAATGATGGCCCTACCCCCCTAGGGTGGCGGCACAGCTCCCGAAAGATGCCTCGTGTGCTCGACCAACGCGCCCGGTACGGATCCTCCACGCATCCACCACCGAGGACGTCCCCGAGCACGACGCGAGGAAGCCCCTCGAGGGCCCACACCTCCATCCCGGGCACGAGACCTCAGCGACGGAACAACTTGGTTTCAAGTCATGGCTCCTCGCAAAGGAACCACGACTTGGGGGGCTCCTGTTCTGGACTGGGCCCGACAGGCCCAAAAGCATTACTAAGGCCCAGTCCAAAGGGACTCACTAAGGACCACACTGGGCAAAGGGGGTCACGTCCATGCCCGACACCCTGATGTCCACCTCGACATCTCGATGTCCAGCCCCACGCGATGAAGTCATGCTCGACAACCTGCCACCCGGCTCTATGTCCTGGCGTCCAGCTCGACACTCGCTGTCCAGCTCGAGGTCTTGGCGTCGAGCTCGGCACCGTGCTGCGCAGCTCGACATGGACTCGAGCTACCCGGCTAGGGCAGACTCAGTCCACCGTTGCCCCAACGATACTCCGGAAAGACCGCGTCTCCGTCCGCCCGCACTTTACGCAGCACATCCAGGAAGGGGACCACGTGCTGGTCCCCACTACCCACGTAGAACCTGGCAGTTCCTCCATTGGGCCAAATCCGCCCGGCCCAACGAAGGAACCTTGGCCCAGCGCTGGGGGCTATAAATACCCTCTGTTTCCAGAGGGTCAGGTATTGATCATTCTAACCTCAACTCTATTATCTGCTCGTACTCCCACTGACTTTAGCATCGGAGTGCCTTGCAGGTACCCCCCCTCCTCGTTCAAAAAGCCTTCAGCTCGGAGTAAGCCGTGACGGTCCAAACCTTCTGATCAGGTCAGATCATATATATATATATATATATATATATATATATATATATATATATATATATATATATATATATATATATATATATATATATATATATATATATATATATATATATATATATATTGTGTTGTACTGTTTATTAAATAAAAAATTTATTCTTAAAGAATTATCTTTTTTTTAAATAATTTAAAAAAACTACTTTAAAATAAAAATAATTTTGCGTTGTAGACTGTTTATCACTTAATTGTAAAACTATTTCAAAAAAAAAATTACTTTAAGTGAAAATTTATTTTAAATGATTATTTTTAAAATATTAATTTAAATATTTTATCATTTTATTGAAAAAAATTTAGATATCAAAATTTAAAAAGTATTTTAATTGTAAAATTATTTCAAATAATTTTTTATAAAAACGTTTTTTTAAATATAATATTTGAAAAAACTACAATTTCAATAATATTTTAATCTTTAATAATATATGTTTATATTATAGAATGTCAAAATTACTTTTAAATATAATTTTTTTAAGAAAGTTGTATTTTAATAAATATTTTCATAAAAATTATTTATGAAAATATTTTCTTTTTAAGAATAAAACAAAGAAACATAATATTACTTTTGTCCCTAAAAATAAGATCTACTAGAATAAATTACAAAACTATTTATAAATTTTAATTCAATTGGTAAAAAATGATATTAATAAATTGTTTTCATTGAGTTTAAATTTTAATACTTTGAATGTCTGAGTTTTTAGTGGTCAATGGTTATCATAATTTTGTCTACATATAAAAAAATTACAATTTTTTTTTTTAAAAAATTAGTTATAATATTAAATTTATTTACTATTTATAAATTTTCATAAGTTTATTTTAAAGTGAGAGAGTTGTATAATATTTATTCTGGACTGGGCCGGGCTGGCCCAAAAGCAGTGTTGAAGGCCCAATCCAAACGGTCTTACAAAGGGTCACGCCGACCAAAAGGCCATACCCTTGTCCGACACTTTTTGCTAGTACGACGTCCTCGACTCCATGCGATCCTGCTCGACCTCAGCTCGAGCACCCCTCCTAGGGCAGACTCTATCAACTACGCCATCACCTGGATCCCGAAAAGACCGCGTCCTCGTCCGTCCGTACTTCACGCAGAACATCCAGGAAGGGGACCACGTGCGGGTCCCCACTACGCACGTAGAACCTGACAGTTCCTCCATTGGGCCAAACCTGTCCGGCCCAATGAAGGAACCTTGGCCCAGCGCTGGGGGCTATAAATACCCTTTGTTCCCAGAGGGTCAGGTATTCATTCTTTTATCCAGACTCATACTCTTATCTGCTCGCGCTCTTACTCACTTAAGCATCGGAGTGCCTTGCAGGTACCCCCCACTTCGTTCAAAACTTCAGCTCAGAGCCAGCCGTGACGGTCCAAGTCTGATCAGCCTAGATCAATATGTAAGAAATAATAAACTAAAAAAAATTATATTTGAAAAATGAAGAATTACTAATCATGAACAAAATATTTGAATTTCACACTAATAATATATAGTTAAAAGTATTCTTGCTTCTATAAAAATAATATCCTTCTTGTATTTATTAAAAACAAAATAATAACCACAAACAAAAACTTGGGTGCAGTTGATAGAAGAAAAATGTAATTTTGCGAAATATTATAATAATATTTCTTTTAAATATATATATTTTTAAATTAAAAATTAATATAAAATTGTGTTATTAATTAATTTTATAATATTATTCACTAATATTTTACATTTATTTTTATTTTATTATTAAAAATTATTTTTAATATCGAGATATTTATTAACTAACTTTATAATTTCATTAATCAACATTATTCTTCATTAACCAACTTTATTTTACAACTAAAATTTATTTTTAATATTAATATTTATTAACTAACTTTATAATTTTATTAATTAATTTTTTATTTTTTACTAATCAACTTTATTTTATTACTAAAATATGTTTATGTTTTTTTATTTTCAAAAATACAATTTATCATGTAAATACAGCTATACACTACAAGTATTTATTCAGTGTAGAAATGAGTGTCATTCCATTGCAACTTAATTGGAGGTATATTACCAATTTCACAAGAAAAGACTTTTTTTTACCAACCATCAATCATGGCAAAAGACTTGATTAAATTAAGTAATTAAGTCACGGAAGGGAAACAAAGTCAAAATATTCTTAAGTGATTAGTAAAAGACAAAGTAGAAAGCGGCGAGAATAGAACAAGGAGCTTTTTTTCTCCGACAGATGTTCCATGTTAAGACAAAATTCCCTGTTTCTCTTTCACGTTCTTGTTCTTAAAGTCACTCATTCTTAAACACTGAGTTTATGTTTTATTATATACTCCTTCACCTTCCGTTCGGTTCTGTTGCAACTCCCAAACCTCAATCACCATGGCGGAATCTACCCTCGCTGTCTTTGTCATTCTCATTCTCACCGGATGTTCCTCCTCCAGAGACCTCCGTCCTTCTGATCACGGCCTTCTCTTTCAGACTTTATCACCGGCGGGGACGCATTCTTCGCCCGAGATGAGATCCTTCTTCAACAGTGGCAATTCATCGCCTACAGTTTCGTCTTCCTCCGACGTGGCCATGCCGAATGCCATTACAATGGATAACCCCACTCCACGACCACCGTCTGGGTTGAGAGGCTCTGGCAAAGACGGAGACCGAGTTGAGGATGCCCTGAAGGCGGCGAGTTTAGCGTGTGGAATCGTGGGAGCGTTTCTGATCATGGCTTCGAGTTTAATTTATGTGTTCAAATATAGAAAGCGGGTACAAAACGAAGCTTTACGTGGTAACAATGGTGAATTTGAAAATGATGATGGAAATAACAAATTGCAATTAGTTCTACGTGACCCTTCGAGTTGAGTTTGTTGTTGATCAATGGGGCATGCAAATGGAGTGGTTTGGACTATTTTAGACAATTCGGTAATTTTTTTTATTGTTATTGTTGAAAGAGTTTTCGGTATAACTCGTTGATTGTAAGAATAAGAAAGATAACATGTACGGTGTCTTGTGAGAGACAAGTTACTCATCTAATTAACTATTAGTTAGATATCGCCTCTAGAAGTTTGTTGAGATTTTGTACTTAATTCTAGTTGATATTAGTTCGGATCGTTGCATGTGTATATGTGCATTAGCACTTTGTAATGCTCTTCTTTTATGAATAGAATATATATTTGATCCTAAAAGCTTCAACTTATTGATTTGTAGGAATGATTCGTGGTGTTTGATAGAGTTTTTAGGCTAACTCACGTAGAGTTATGAGAAGTTCTATATATGATTTTCTTTGATTCACATTCAAAAAATGAGATATTATAGAAGGCTTCTTGAGTTTGGGTTGAATAGTTAGAATGAACCGTTTTCTCCTATGACTCATTTTTATATTTGGTTAGTGAAGGGACATTTCATAGCCACATATGGTAGGTGAATGAGTCACCTTAGACGGACTAAGCCCAATTGGACGGCTTGTCGCCACATTATTATGCGATTTCTTCCCCATTTATGGCGGCTTTTTGGTTTATTTCTAGTGAATTCTACCATGTAGCGAGAGCTCGCCAAGAGTTGAGGCAATTTACTTATATTATATACTCATGGATCTTTTTCCTAAGATCTAGTAAAATTCTCCCAGTACAGAGTCACTTAAACATTTGGAAAGGGCTACATGATTTAACCTAAGCATTATACGTTTTCACATTTGAATCAAACCCATGAAAACTCTTCAGGCGAAGGCATGCGAGTTTTTCAAATGGAGCTTGGGGCGAGACCCTCGAGATCTTAGAGTGAATCCCTCAAACATTATAGATAGTAGCATGTACAACATTAAATACTACTAATGATGACCTTTCTTGAGAAAACAAAACAGCTAAATGAGGAGTTTGTGTGTGTCAAAAACATGGGGAGTTTGTTGGCGTTCCTAATGAGGGTCAGCACTGTCTATTCCTCATAGCTTGTGATGTTATAATATGAGAAGTTTCATCACATTTCAAACACCCAACCATATTCTCACTTCTCAAAGAAAATTGTCAGTCTTCTCCAAACTTAAAGCTCTTCTTTCTGCTCGCCCATATGTATACACCTTATCCTTTTTCTATACGATTTTCCTTTTTAAACATGGTGATTATTAGGGAGTTAGATAAGATTGGAAAGGTGATAGATCCATAAAATAGTATAGAGTGGGCATAAATGTATTTGCCTTATTTACAGAACACCGAGCGAGCGAATGGATCGATCGACTACAGGATTTTGAAAATAGCGGTGTTTCAGAGTTATGAAAATACTAATAGTTCTAATTGTCATAGTGCGAGTGATAATGATTCTCTTTTTTCTTGTTATTAACTAGGAAATCCTAGGCAACCAATGATGACCAACAATTCTAAGTACATGAGCATTGAGGACTTCGAGACACATTACAATTATGAGGAGAAAGGCCTTCTATCGTAGGCATATCAACCTTTCTAGCACTAAAAACAATGGAGATGTCATTTTATAAGTTTTTTCTGAATAGAAGCAGGCCAAGATGACCCACCACCCCTTGACTTGCCCAATCCTTTTTTCTATTTCTACCTCCCCATCGTCCAAGATTTAGGGGGGTTTAAGTTCTTTTTTACATTGTTTGAACTGGAGGTCCTGGCGACTCCAAATGTTACTCCCTCTTTGATCTCGCCAAACAGTTGTGGATTCATTAAGGCCTTCGAGATCATATGTCAGTGATTCAATGTCAACCTTACCATAGGGATATTATTTTCCTTTTACGGTACCAAGACTGTATCGATGAGAGGATAAGTGACTTTTAGCGCCCAAACTAGGAGGATTTGTTCAAGCCTCATTTTAACCACTACAAGAATTGAAAGGATATGTTTGTAAGTGTGTGTGTGTGGGGGGGGGGGGGGGGGGGGTGAGAAGGCTTCACAACTTTCACAACTAGGGAGGATGATGCCCCTTGATTAACTTTATCTTGGATTGACGACACAATGGTTATCACTAGATTTAACTTTGATTATCTCACCATCACCGTGAGGGAGGTGGTTCATTTTCTGGATGACTTTTCTATCATGAGATCCAAAAAATTATAGAGTTAGATCAATGGGATGATATCAAGATCGATTAGTACATGCGTAAGTTTGTAATTGTAGTTATTCACATTTTAGAATTTTTTACTCGCCTCATAATTTATTGTTCCCTTTTCTTATTTTTCACAGAATATGTTATCCATCCTGGTCAATGAGAGGAAAGCTCACATGGCTAAGAATAATATGAGTTGTAAAGTGTGAATAAGATGTACATCATCTATATTAGTTTAATTTTGATGAAGAAAAAACCTTATCAAATAATATAATAAGAAGAAAAAGTTTAGAATCAAGAATGAAAAATGCACAAGCTTATGGTTATTTTCGAAGTAAAGGAAATGATCTTGATGCTAAGATACTTAATTACAATTCATATTATGTATATCCTTAGATGCTCGAAAATCATTTATTTATTCATCTCTAATATTCCTAAGAGTTTATTCGTAAAAACCATTCAATTTCAGCCTTTTCAAAGCATGTTTTTCAAAATTTATAGGGTGGTAATCAATTACACAAATAATGTAAATGGTTACACAATCATCATGCTTTGGTAAATTATGGTAGTTAAAAGCATCACAATCATACTTTAAAATTTCCGTTGTTGTTTGAAATTTGAATATTGCTTTGCACTTTTTTAATCAGATATTTGTTTAACAGATTTAAGAAATCATGTACATAATGCATAATTGTGTCTTTTCATGAATCATTGTCATTCTAAACTATTGTAAACCTTCATAGAAATGTTTCAAACTAATGCATCTATTCGTAGAGGTTTCTTATGATGTATTTAAGAAAAAATACATCATAATTTTAAATAACATCTTTCATACAAATTTTAATATAATTCAAATCATTTTTCTAAGTATTCATCCGTTTTAAAAATATTGAAACTTTGTGCATAATCTTTAAATTATTCCAAAAAAAAATCATAATATTTCATTAGAACTTAAAGATTATATATTATTGAATTACAACTTTGAAATGGGAGATTAATATTCGTCTTGGAATTCATTCAAGATTCAAATGCTTAATATTATTTTAAAAAAGGTGTGTTGTAACTTAATCACCAAATTTGTGGTGATAAGTTGTTTGTTGTAAAAGGTTCTTTGAATTGGTGTAATTAAAAGTCCACCATAGTGTTTGATGTTTTGTGAAAAGGGTTCTTTAAATTGGAGTAATTCAAATTTCACCATAGGTTTGGTGTTTATGTTAAAAGATTGTAAGAGAGGTCTTGGTGTGAGACTGGTACAAAGATCTAACATAGTGGAATATCCTTCAAAGTGTGAAGGGACTAGATGTATCCTTGGTTAATAAGGGGAACTAGTATAATTGTCTCGTGCTCTTTACTTTTATGCACTTTAATTTTCTGCACTTTATATTGCAAGGAACATGTCATTTTCATATCCAAAATTGAGAAAAATTGGGCAATCTTAATTCACCCCCCTTAGTTTGCATTATATAGTTACATAACCAGCAATGGACTCATAATCCAAAAATTATCTCGGGCAACCTCATCACTAAAGAAAGAAGAATGAGCACCGAATTGAGCACCATTATTGAGACTCGCCCTCTCAAAAACCTGAGGTCAGATGGACATGAAGGGATTTCCTCCTCGACTCTTAATAAACAGGAAAAAATTATTGTAAACCTTGAAGATGATGATGAAGGCGAGCAACAAACAAGTTTACCTATATGGGATAACCCGCGTAAGAAATATCAGTCCTCGATATGGAACGATGCATTTAACATGAGGAAATATGTTAATGCCTAACTCCCCTTCCATGAAGACTTTCCCAACAACTTCAAAGATATCACTAGGATGGGAACTCAGAAATTGTCCAACATAGTAGAGAACCTAATGCTCAAGGGCTTGATGATGGAGTGATTTATCTTCAAGTCTCGTACACAAGAGGATAGATCTATGGGTAACTTACAATTTAACCTTAATTCAGTGAAGGAGTGGATGACTCAGGAACATGAGTTAGTAAATTTTTTACTAAGGAACAAGATGGGTTGAAACGACTTGAGGGAAATCTCAACGAAGCCCTCAAAAAGGCGGAGGAAGAGGCCAAAAATATACCTTATTAGAGAACAACCTGAATGAGACTCTTGAAGGTATCCCAATAGAGGACATCTGCAGAAATTTCTTGAAATATTAGCACTTCCTTAATTTCCAAATCATTATACATCAGGGTTATGACAATGGGTCGTTGTCATGGGGATGGATTCCTGCAACATCCTTTCTTGAGAAGGTGATCTCATGCTCTAAAGGTTCCTTTACTCCCACATCATATATGGAGGATAAACCTTATACGGTAATGACTTAGTGTTCTTATCTCCTATGAGAAGATTTAGTCTCCTCATTGATGGGCTGTTTAATCTGTAACGTATAGCCTAAATGTAGTACTGCAAGTGTACAACCTATCGAAGTAATATATAAGATTATCGAACCACAGAGACCAATTGTCAATCTATCAACTCTATTGCTAAGGTGCTTATCTAAGGCGAATAAGGATATTGATGTGAGTGCAGTGCACAAAGTAAATATGCGAGGGAAATAACAGTTTAAAAGACAGGTTGGAATGTAAATCATGTAATCAGATATTGGTCCGGTCATGCGTAGATGAACCTACTTATGGGGCAGTATTTTCTGTTGATAGCAAAGAATCAGTTTAACGGGAACCTGTAGCTTTTGACTACTAAGAACCGAGTTTACTCTTTAAATTAAATTCCTTTATTGTCACATATAAAGGGTGCCTTCCGCGTTAAAGAGGTAAACCTATTTTTAAGAAATTGATA